CCCCACGTGACCCCTACATCTACTCTGCGTGCCCCCCCCCCGCCGCACCCCCTCTACACTTGCACGCATTGAACTATTTTCCAACCGACAAGGGTTACAACTTTTTTTTGGTTCTGCGAATGTAACACTTTCCATTGCTGTGCTTCAACTTCTCACGGTCTAACTTCAAAGTACAGTATATACAATGTTTGAATATATATATTTTGTATACATGGTGAATATTTGTCACGTACTAATTTTATCTGTTTATTACGCTTCATTATAATAACCAATCCAATACTATTAAATGAAGGCCTGTGCATGCCGCATAATAAATGGATTTTTTTTCACTCTACTTAACCATGCTGATGAGTGTGGGTTGAAGGGGAGGGGGCCTAACAACGCAAGTTGCTGTGTTCAGAACACTACTAGAATACCGGATGAGGGGATAATTCGTCAGTAGAATTGAAGATGCAGTTTAAAAGAGTATCGTTAATTCTGATATTTTTTTCCTGCAGACATGTCAATTGCCTCCCTTTATTATCATCGTGAACAATTGTTTAAACGTAAAATTGTCACGTCGGATATTAAAGTGAGGTTCGCATTCATCATATGTAAAGAGATACGTTTTGTCATTAAAAAATACTGTATTTTCTTCAGAGGAAGCTACAACCGTAAACTAATTTAGGATAAAATAGAAATTAGTGGTATAGAATTTGATCCCAGTAAGCAGTATGACAGTAAACAAGAAAGAATATGAATGTATTTAGAGGCAGTGCTTACAATTACACTTTGTTAGGTGTCCGAAATACACAACCGTCCATATATTGTAATTGTAGCTTACAGACAATTTTAAGGGAATTCTAGTGTCCTTTACAGTTTGCACAAATGTCTTAGGTGGTAAATATTGGCTAAATATCATTACACCGCGAGTCAATGTTTATCCACAGACAAACTTACAAAGCCAACCTCGCAGGGGCCATTTTCCAGATGTGGCTGCCAGTTTTTTTTAAAAATAAGTCAATGGAGAATGGAATGCCCGCTTACCACGTGATGATTTGCATGCACGTTTCGGGGTGTCAGGGGAAGGATTCCCACCCATAGTAGGGGGAGTGAGACGGTGACAGGAGAAGGGGGAGGAGCAAAGCGAGGAGATATAAGGGAGATAACGGGCGAGAAGAGAGGAGGTTAGCGGGAACGAGATTGAGACGACTGGGGACGGGTGTGGATGGGAGAAAAGGAATAAAAGACAAACCCCCTGCAAACTTGTGTTGGCTCTCCTTTACACATGTGATAAGAAGACCTATTTGCGCTGATGTGCAAATCTAACACTTGCTGGCCATTAATGCTGCTGTAACAACAAGGCTACTCTTCCCCGAATTCAATGTACACCGCACTTCTGCTTAGTTCATAACCAATCACTTGGCTGGAGTTCGTATAGCAGTGCTGGATATACCACTCCGTGCTGAAAATACCACTTCGTCCTGAATATACCACTCCGTAAAGAGATACGTGTTGACCATTGTTTGACACTATATTTGGTAAAATTTTCATGCCCATCTCTATACATAATTTTGCCAATTGGTAAAAACTGTTTCTTATAAGCATTTCGAAAGCACAATTATTTGCAATGTGACTGCTAGGAACCGATTAATTTGTATAGCTATTATCAGCCACTATTCATTAACATGCAGCAATTTAGGCTTTACTATATTGGCCCACAAAAGATTGTTACTAAAATATATTTACACATCAGTACACCACCAAAATGGTATAATTGGTGTTTTATGTTATGGATTTAAATTATTATAATTATATTTTACTTGTTATGGTGTCTGGAAATATATATTTTATCGTGCCTTAAATGGCTTGTGCATTAGGTACACAGACAATTTTAAATTCCAGTAATTTGGTGAATAGTTGCGATTTGGGGTCTTGGTTCAAGAATATTTTTTTTTGCCTCAACTGTATTTTTTGAATGCTTAATGTAATTGGAGATACAACCTGGATGTTAACCATCCATGCGTCAGTGAGACTAATCGCGCTTTCCATGCTTACAAACCTCAACAGTTGTTGACCATTCACAGGAGGTCGATGTTCATCTCGGAGCACTTCGGTGGGAATTCAAAAAAATTGCTAACACAATGCGTTTCAAACGCCTGCCGAGTGGCAGTAGGGCAGCTCTGACAATTGCTAGCAGGAGGCAAGGAAAGATTTTTTTCTTCACATTTGTGGCACAGGTGACTTTTCTCAGCAGATTGTTAAACGAGGCGGAGTGAGTTAAAGCGCACAACTGTATCTGTTTTCAGAAGGTTTGCACAGAACGATGGCAGTCCTGTTGGCAGTGGTGGCCCTTTCGCTCAGTGACCGAGGTGTTGTTTGAAATATATCTTCCTGTTCTTCTTCCGTATGGCTGCTGATGTAGATGCAGAGCAACAACTGCAATTTCACATTCAGGTGGCCAGCGCAGATAACCGCGTCACAAGTAGCAGAGTGTATCATCATCGCCGCGATGTCTCCTTCGCATTTGTGCATCGGGCATTGCATCGTTATACGTTGTACGGTCTGTTCCGGATGACCACAGTCGTACACTGGAGAATTTTTAACGTTCCATTTGTGCATCAGGTATCCGCATCTGCCATGGTTTGTGCGGATACGATTTAGGGTGGACCATGAGCTTTGTGGAAGGTCAGACCCAGGGATATTCTATGTTGGGTCTTTCACAGTGTGTTTGTGAGTTCTTTGAACTATATTTCGCTCTCCAGGCTTAATCGGGGTTGAATTCGCATTAAGGTTAAGCACATACGTCTAAAAGGGCTTGCGTGACTTCAAGCAATGACGAGGGATATTACTGCGGTCCTGATGAATGGGAAGGCCACTGTTTTCCTCAATTCGCAGGACTATCATCCAGCTAGCACCAACTAGCTGGATGATAGTATGGTTGCTCTTGTGAGATTCCAGCTCTACACATCGTTTACGAGAAAAACCTGGTTCATTTAAGTAATAACAAGGGTTAACGTTTATTTATTTGCAGGGGACTTTCAGTTTTGGTTATGACACTAGACTATAATTGCCCATTCTTGCAAATGATGATGTCACAAAGGTCTTTAATGATCACATTACAGCAAATAAACTCTGAAAAATACACAAATATATGAGCAGTTGATTTAATAGGATCAAACCACCTCCTCAGTGCAAGATGACCTGGTAGTGAATGTCATAAGCACTTTATTATCCACCCACTTAAGAGTGATTAATGTGAATACACTAACTTTGTTGATTAATTAATATACTGAGGTTTTTTTTTACAGAGGTTCTCAAAGAAAATTAATCCTCACTGATAATGCACAGGGTTCCATTTAAGGAGTTTGCGTAAATTTTGGTCAATCCCCGGTGGAAGATGGGGCACCTCGCAATGCAGCCTCGTGCCAATGAAAGCCCTCTGACTGTAAATTTATCATCGGCTTGGATTTCACTCAGCGACTCCTACTTTACGATTTTTCTGCTGATCCAGCTGCCTTTTCATCCCCACTGCCGCCCAGTCACTCTTAACAAATATCCCAGGCTACACACCCTTCTACGAACCTAATCCCCGAGCTGTTAATTGGATTGTATGCTGATGATGTATACTCACTGTCAAAATGAGTGCTCATTTTCACCCTGTCATGTGGGAGTGCTGGCCAGGAGCAACTCGTATTTATTTATAACATCCCTAGTAGGCTGATATACTGCAGTGGTGCGTTTATTAACTTATTTACTGCATTCAGTCGAGTGTGCCTGTATTCAAACGTCATGTGGAAGGTGGGGCGGAGATTATTAAATCATTATGAATCATGACAGGTGTCATTAGTATGAGAGTACATAAGCTCTTTTAACGGGAGGCGGAAATCCTAATTAGTGCTATTGTACACACTCAGTAACTCAAATTAATTACTCATGGGCAACCGTTGGTATCTTTCTAGTATCTACTGAAAACATGTCACAGTTGCTGATGCTACACCATACAATTTTAATTTATTGGGCATCTAAATGAGATCACATCTCAAGATGCTTTACAGACACACAACATGTTCTGTATATAATAGTTTAATGATTCATTAGAAAAATAATAGATTTTCCGATAACCACCCATCTTACAGGCACATATTCCAGTTGAAATATAGTAATATCTTAAAATAAAAGTAGAGTTTGTATTTACAGTACATTTTCTACCACTGTTGAATAATTATAAATATTCAAACGTTGTGTTTCTGTATTATTTAACGTCTCAGTTCTCAGCACATTTTATTTTATCTATTTAAATATTACGAAACTGTATTGGCAGTGATGCGTAAGCAGAAATAAACCTCCCCCCCCACCACCACATTAATCATTATTATTAATAACACTGTGTAAGGGATGCCCAGAGGCAACCCCTATTAGGAAATAAATATACGCTCGCCGGGTCTTATGGGTTAGAGTTTGAATATCTCGCTCGACTCTCATTGGCGAGCTATTCCAGGGGGGGGGGGGGGGGCACATGTAGGGCACACAATCGGATTTGAAGGCGGAGAGCATTCAAATCGGATTGGTCGTCAGGGGAGAACTATATGGATATCAGCATTTGGTTGGGAGACCATTAGGAGAAATTAAGGGAATTGGTGGGGAGTCATGGAAAGTTCCAAAAATGCTGGGGAAGAGGATAAAAGGAGGGATGGAAGGGGGTTCAGGGGGCCTGAACAGAGTAATTCCTTGACGTATGACGCCTTGTACGGAAGATGTAATTGGTGACGTTTTGTCCTTCACTTGACAATTACCTCCAATTTTGCCTTCCGATTCATCTACAGCTCTCCAGAAATGCAAACTCGGGGATTTTTCAGACCCGCAAACCTACCCAACGATTTCGTTAATTTTTTTTTTGCGAAACAGCAAACGACAAACGAATTGAAAGAGCAGAGGTATTCGTACGAATGACCGCAGCACGGTACCATATCGCCAAGCGTTCTCACGCGGTCCCATTTTTTTCAACGTGCCCCTCGCAGGTCCCTGGGGAGAGTGCGTCGGGGAAGAGTGCGGCCCAGTCGGCGTTCAGTCCCGCGCGGTGTGGTGCGCTCACGCCGAGAACTGGACCACGCTGCTGGGCAACTGCCGCGTGGAGGAGCGCCCGCCGAACCAGCGCAACTGCTTCCGCGTGTGCGAGTGGCACCGCGACCTCTTCGAGTGGGACACCGGCGAGTGGGGCAGCTGCAGGCCCCTGCTCGGCCGCGGCCCCTCGCCGCCGAGCCGCCGATGCGAGCACAGCGAGGGCCAGCGCGGCGTGCGCACGCGGACGTTCGGCTGCGTCCAAAAGACCAACCGCTCGGCGGCGGTCGGCGACGAGGTGTGCGCGTACTTCGCCGAGCGGCCCAGCGCGGAGCAGGGCTGCGTGCTGCCTTGCCCGCGCGACTGCGTGGCGAGCGAGTGGGCGCCGTGGTCGTGGTGCCAGCGAGTGGGCATGGGCACCTGCGGAGAGGGGTCGCGCCACCGCGTGCGGAGCGTGCTGGTGCCACCCTCGTATGGAGGAACCAAGTGCCCCGAGCTGTCCCAAGCCGAGCCGTGCTTAGTGGAGGAAGTGTGCCCAACGGCTGATGTAGAAGACGCGAACACCAAAAGCCAGTATGTCTATTGTTTTACCATAGCTTCTTATTATGTGTATCATGTATCTTTGGCTATATATATATAACAACATCACCATCAGTCATGTTCTTTATTGACCGCTGGATTATGGCCTTGTTAATGCCTCGTAGTGCCTTCATGGTCCTACAATGCAACAATCCATTTGGCACCTGCACACAAGCAAATGATTTCATTGCTCCATCTCATTGGACATCTTGTCGGGTTTGTTCCTTCCTTTGATTGCCGCTCCTTCATTGGTCTTGACCACCAGCCATCATCCCTTCCAGCAGTGTGTCCTGCTCAAGCCCACTTACATGTCCTAACAGTAAATATGATGAATGCACCACTTTTAACATGTAAACATTATTTGCTGTACTTTAGATAGAGGGCAATGCTCGCGAGATTAAGAACAAATTACCGTATGGGAACAGTCGAATATTTGAATATCTATAAAAAAAATTACCTTTACATCACACGCACACTGTGCTGGGTGTGGGTGGTTCATTGGTCAAGGTGGACATGCGATGGTCAGATATGCAACGTTGGTACAACTGCGCTTACAGAAACTTTGACATCCCAGGCATGTCTCGATTTGTGGCCAGGTCACTTCTGAAAAGAAGCTAATAGCTCAATGGGCTTTACCTGCTCAAATTTAAGTTGTTTGCGGTGATTTGCTTACCTTTCCTATACTTTGCACTCCCATAATGCGTTCGTATTGTTCGTTGTTGTAGCTTTCCGAAACCACCTCCTACTGGACATCCGTGATAAAGAGCTTCACAGCTCATCGGATTCCCCCAGCGTAAATTCTGCTTCCGACGATGTACCCGCATCCACAGGTACCGGCTCAAGGTCGGAGCGTGGAGTGCGTGCCGCCCCATGCCCCAGCCCAGGACCGCGCGTCACACCGACCGCCGCGTGCCCTCGTCGCTGTCCCCGGCGGCGGCGGCGGCGCCTTCGGCCGCGCCTCTGCACGCGCGCGGCGCACGCGAGGCCGCTCAGCAGGAGCAGGCCAGCCCACCTCGCTTGCGGGAGCTCCTCAAGCTGCGCCGGAGCAGAAACCGCGAGCGCAAGCAGGACGTGCGCCTGTGGGACGTGCAGCTGGGATCCCACCGCCGCTCCGTGCTGTGCCTGGGCCGCGACGGCAAGCGCGTCGACCCGCAGTGAGTTACGCTTGCCGTGCCAGGCGGCGGGCATCACTAGTAATGTTCATATTCGTCGTGATAATATGCACTTGGAATTCATGATGTTCCTGCAGTGCAGGGCTATCACGGAGGTGCTATGTTTCGCAAACATTGTAGTCTTCCATGAGGGGGGCGATGATTGCTACGTGTGATCTCGATTGAGTAATAGCAACACTAAATACAAGTTTAGGGGCCCCAAGAGGCTCAACGAGCCCAGGATTTTTAAATAAAATAGGGGTGCACAAAATATCAGCTCAAGCTCATTTCCTTATGAAAATAACAAAAAGCTCATATTTCTAATAACACAATTAAATACATTGCGATAATTATTTATCACCCGATTTACATTCACGCAATTGTAATATAGTAATATATCTTTTGCAGATAATCACGTCTGTAGTCAGGTGATGCACCCAACATTAATTTCTGAGTGGGGTCCCAATGGGCTGAAATCACCACTGGATGTAGAACTTCCATGCTAATGGGAGGTGCGATTCCCGCACCCCGTACTGATGGCAGTCTCACACGCGTGCATGCATCTGATGTATGTGCCAAATGTACAATACAATTACACAATACAATTTGGATTTACATAGCATGGGAATGCTGCCACAACTCAGGACAGTCATGAAAATAAGGCAGAAAAAATGTGAAAGGTCACACCAAAACATTGTTTGGCTGTCACTGACAGTCCATCATTGTGCCACTCACGAAAGAATGCAAGGCATTCATCTAAGTGTGACTTTTGGGATATTGGAATAAATATGAAAAAAACATAGTTTTCACACCATATTCTCAGAATTGTTTAGCGGTTATATTTTGTGTTATGATTTTGTAATTCGACTTCAACAAAGAGTATTGCACTATATTACAAACGTCGACACTATTATGTAATTTTATTTTATTATTATTTCTTATTTCTACGTGACTTTACCGAAAAAAACAAAGAGTAATTCCTGCAGTCACGAAAGCACCAAATCAAGTTGCATACATAGTATTTAATATTATATACATTAACAATGCAATTTAAGTTACGTATAAGTATTTTAAATATCACAGCATTATTGCAGCACGTGATGTGGACATTTGCTATGATCTAAATGTTATTGCAGTATATATAAAAAGATTGTGATGACAATTCCAATTTGATCATATCTCACTTTGTAATGATAGCCTCATACGCAGCTGGTGCATGCATATGAGTAGTGTTCACGTTCATAAAACATTTTCTAACTGCATATTGAATCATTGGCGTGGCTTTTTGGTAGCCTATTTAAGAGCTCCTGGCCTCAAATGTTCTTATAGCTTTGACCTTTAATGGTACTATCGTTTACTTTATTATTGCATAGCAATGCTACCAGGAATAAATGAAAAGTCTTATAAAACCCAGTGGCCTTTACTTTGTTCTGGGAGGGTACACAAAGTTTCCTTTGGCTTCAAGATTTTCCATGGGTTGGCACATGTCTGAAAGATGCACGATTCCCAAAATGATTCAGAGTGCTCCAAGTACCACAAACTTATTTATGGTCCCCCTTAATATTTGATGGTAAGAGCATTTTTTGATGGCCCACTAAAATGGCATTCATGCAGTTCACATGGACATACATATTAAACAAGTATTAACTCTTGATTTAAAGCTTTCGTGACTGCAGTAATTCATATTCTTAGTTTTTTCGGTAAAGTCACGTTGAAGAGAAACAACAAAATAACAAAATATATATAAAACAATAAAAAATTCTCACGACGTTTCGACCATAACTCAAACGGTCATCATCAGGTGTGTCGGTTTGCATATATATTTTGTTATTTTGTTGTTTCTCTTCAACGTGACTTTACCGAAAAAACTAAGAATAAGTATTAACTCGTATGTGCATTAAAGTCGTTTGACAGACATGATAGGGGGGAGGGGCAAGGAGATACGCTTTCACTAGGCCTTTTCAAAGAGACATCATAATGCAATGTTGGAACATGTGATTGCCAAAATGAAAGCAAAACATGAATATAAGAAGTATTAAACATTTTACATTTGGAAATGAAAATAAAATACAAGACATATTTAAGGAACTTAACAATGAAAGCTGCATTGTTTTGGTCAATATAATTGAACATACTATAGGAAGCTTTAGCAGAATATGTATGTATACTGAAAGCAATTATATAAGGCAAATTATGATCATAATGAATGCCGCATATTCATGAGCTGCAAAAAGAGGATAGTTTTCAATCATAATCTTTGGTTCTTTGAGTAAAGTCACGAAGATAGGTTCAAAGAAAATAAAAAAAAATTACGTTTCGATCGTAACACAAGCAGTCGTCATCAGGAAAAGGGGGTTAGCTTCTAAAGGCAACCTATTTATAACGTTTTAAAATGGGCGTAATGTCAGCAGCATGGGCGGGGCAGCTAATGTTAATGTAAGTGGTGGGCAGCGACCGTGATGGTGGTGAGTTTTCCACCAATTAAAGGGCTGCCAGGTAAAAATTAGCATATTAATGTAAGATCGGTGAGCGGCCTCCACGTCGAGCGTGCTGAGGTGGCTATGTTAATGGGAGAGATTGGCATGTTAATGTAAGATCTGTGAGCGGCCTCCACATCAAGTGCGCTGAGGTGGCTATGTTAATGTGAGAGATTAGCATGTTAATGTAAGATCGGTGAGCGGTCTCCATGGTAAACGTGCTGAGGTGGCTATGTTAATGTGAGAGATTAGCATGCTAATGTAAGATCGGTGAGCGGCCTCCACGTCAAGTGCGCTGAGGTGGCTATGTTAATGTGAGAGATTAGCATGTTAATGTAAGATCGGTGAGTGGCCTCCACGTCGAGCGTGCTGAGGTGGCTATGTTAATGTGAGAGATTAGCATGTTAATGTGAGAGATTAGCATGTTAATGTAAGATCGGTGAGCGGCCACCATGGTGAGCGCACTGAGGTGGCTATGTTAATGTGAGAGATTAGCATGTTAATGTGAGAGATTAGTATGTTAATGTGAGAGATTAGCATGTTAATGTAAGATCGGTGAGCGGCCTCCACGGCGAGCGTGCTGAGGTGGCTATGTTAATGTCAGAGATTAGCATGTTAATGTGAGAGATTAGTATGTTAATGTGAGAGATTAGCATGTTAATGTAAGATCGGTGAGCGGCCTCCACGGCGAGCGCGCTGAGGTGGCTATGTTAATGTGAGAGGTTAGCATGTTAATGTGAGATCGCAGAGTCGCCGTCTCCTCTGGGTCGGCGCGCGATGGTGGCTGCGTTAGCGTGATCAATTTAACCTGTTAATGTAAAATTGGAGAGCCGAAAATAACAACTAACATCAGAAGGTGGTAGGATGGGAACATCACAGCAGTTATGACTTAAACTGGTTGATAACGTCCTTCCAATGATTGCCAAGTTTGTACCCATCTTCTCGGTTGTAATTCCAAGTTTACTATTATTTTTTTCTCATTCATTTGTACCTAATGATGGTTGCTTGTGTTGCAATCGAAACTTCGTATTCTATTATTTAATTTCACTTTTTTCTACGTGACTTTGCCGAAAGAACCAAAGAGTACATCATTGTAAGGTTTGAACTTCACTCACCCCAGCCATAAAGCCTAGTGGCTCCTCTGGCACCTGGTTATGCTTATCATAACCATTCTGCCAGCAAATATCAGCAGAGACATGCAAACAGCAAGGGGGTTTACACGTTTTATTGCTAATGATAACCTACCCATCAACCAAGACCTCAATAATGTACTCATTGTTTTTTTCAGTAAAGTCACGTATGTAGAAATACAATAAAACCATATAAAAACAAAACAATCACGACGTTTCGATCACAACACAAGCGATCTTCATCAGGTGTCAAGAACAAATCATGGAGGTAAATACAACAAGAAGATGAGAGACGAGAATTCAACAAACCTAAGAAACATTATGTGAAGCACAACCAGTCAGGCCAACAACACAGTTAGACACTTCCTAGCGGACCACGAATTTCAGAAGAGTGTTAAATTTCGTGTTCAACCTCTGGATTGCACATACCAGCATAGACAGAGTGAAAAAAATACGAGGTACACGGTCAGTAGAAATACATATACAGGCCCACCAAGAGGTAAGGAGGGAGGAAAGATGGACAGAGAAGCAAGGAGAGAGAAAGAGAGGGGGGCCGGAGGGATGAACAGAAGCCGTAAATAGGAAATAAGGTTGGGGGGAGGGGCCGGAGAGAGCGCGGCAGCTGGAACAAGTACATCTTGCACATCAACAGAAGTACCACACTGTGGACTTAAGTCCTGATCCCCCTTCTGGGATTGTGCTGTCACCATCCTAGAGTCTCACCCAAATCCGAAAGGACACTCGCAAACAAAATGGCACTATTCAGACGTCCATAATAAATAACTTATTTAAGACCCATGAATCACACCTCCTGTGTTTACATTCCTCGCAAACACTGGTGTAAACATCAATTGCATCAAGACATGAACAGGTGGATGCACACATCTACTTGATAAGTTGAAAACTAAAGACAAGCGACAGTGTGATTGTGGTCATGCAACCCAAACTATGAACTGCACAGTAAACCACTGTTGTCTGTGCTTGGAGCAATATCAAAACTACATAAACTCTCTCCTCAAGCCTTCTCGTGGCTAACAGAACTCGACATTGTTATTTTAGCTCCTAAAAATATTGCCATGTGCAATAATATAATTGGAGATCTTAAGCTATCTGTTGAAGTTCAATCCTCTTATTGTAAACATCATGATGGGCTCAGTTGAATCATGGATTTTAACTCACGATGTCCAGAATCACGGTTTACTGCTTTACTAACTGAACTATAACCCAGTCACGGGAAACAATTTAACTTAAAAATAATGAATCATTGAGTTGAAAATAACGTATATAAAATATGTTCTGTACCAGACACACTGGCTTTAGGTTTATGTTGTACCAAATGAAAGCACTGGCTTCTGGTGTTATTGCACGCTCACCCTTGGGGTCAAGAGAGAGAAGC